CCTACTTAATAAATTAAACATTATCACAAGTATGTATGTGTAAGAATTAAAGATATAATATAAATGGGGTTCAGGACTACCCATGGCTTCAAAAAGCTTTTGGGGAGTCTTGGGATATGTTTTCTACAGAAATGGCAAGTGGGCTATTGTATTCCTTTGCATTTTCTAGATTTGATTTTTCTCTAAACATTATCCTTTTGGATTGTTAGGTTGCTCTCAAACACAGTTAATACAAGAAAAACAGAATGTGATCTGTATTATTTCTATTTTTCATAACAAGAGTTCATTTATTAGCAAGTTTGAAAGGTGCCCAAAGGACTTAGATATATAGATGAGATAGATACAAGGAAATGCATAAATTTAACAATTACAGTGATTACTATTTTTGATACTGTAATTCTTCTATTAAATTAATTCTTCTGTTATTTTGACATGAATCCAACTTTTGATATTTTTCTTGTTTTTTCAAGTAATACAAGGTGTTCCAACCATTTCCTGCTCCAAACATGGAGTCAGTAAAACTCTTGTAATATTTTAATGGGAAAATGCACTTAGAAACCTTTGTACAGTAGATTGTTTATAGCGTTTTCAGTGATACAAATATGAAATGATGCTGTTATTTAAAAATTAAATAATAAGTTCCTGCTGATATTATAAACTCAAATTGAGAATTTTATGTGATTTTTGTACTACAGATTTTATCTAATAAAACCTTACTTTACAATCACAAGAACATAATTGTTAGCTTTTTCTTGCTGTTTATACTAGTTTCATAATAAAATAACAATGCTTTTTAAAAAATCACATTATTCACTATTTCAAGACTTTTGTTATGCTTGTTTTTGTTTTTTGTTTTGATTTCCTAATAGAAGAAACCCTACTTTATTCTACTTGTCAAATTACTGTGTAAATATCAAATGTTTTTAAGAATTTAAGTTCATAGTAATTCTAAAAATATTCTCGTTGGTCACTTTTAGAAAATGCTAGGTAAACACTTGAGTGTTTTGAAACTGATGAATTAAAGGAAAACATCAGATATTTATCTTGCTTTTCCCATACAATCTTATGGTTAAGGGGAATCAAATCAGAGATGATTGACATTTGAGATTTATAAAGTATCCCCACTAACAAATCAGGAAGAAGTGTGTGTTAGTTTTTTGACATCATAAAAAATTGAAGATAATGATCTTACAAAGACAAAAGATTTATTTTGGTTTATAATTTTGGAGGATTCAGTCCATGGTTGGTTGATCCCTTTGCTTTGCACCTGTAGCTAAGCAGCATATCATGGTAGGAACTTATATAGGAGTAAAATTTCTCTCTTCGTGACCAGGAAGAAAAGGAGAGAAAGAAGAAATAGCTAGGACACCCCAATCTCTTTTAATGACATGTCCTCAATTACCTAAAGACCTTCCACTAGGCCCCACCTCCTAATAGCACCATCTGAAGATCAAGGTACCATAGACCTTTGAGGGATATTCTAGATCCAAAGTAGAGCACAGTGATAAACTTAGTGTAACCACTTGCCAGCTAGTTGTCTTTGGGCAAAGTACTTATATTTTATGAGCTCAAGTATAGTGTATATGTAGAAATGCTGGTTTACTAGGCTTTGCCCTTAGAAATCACCTGGTAACTGAGCCAAAGTTTAAGGAACTAGTGTTCAAAGATTAGTAGGCTACATGAAGGGATAAAAGATATCCAAATCCCAACATTTGTCACACTCTAGTGTGATCCTGCCCCATGAAGTCAAACAAAGATTTAATCAAGACCTATCCTATAGTTGCAATTCTTTCAGACCCTTGAGATCAGTTCTTTGGAGTTTGGCTCAGTTACTTGTTTTGGAAGCTGAGACATCATCAAACATCATGCCATCAGAGGTCTGGCAAGCACTTGCTCTCTTGCTGCTCTGGGAGTCTTTATTATGTAAACCTAGGTGCTAGAATATGAAAGACCACATGGGAAAGAACTGAAATTCCCATTTTCTCCCAAAACCTTCTCTGCCTGGGCGGCTGAGGGCAGATGCAATGTTAGCCCTCACAGGTGATCCGAGCCTGGGCAAGAATAAACCAGCTAAGCCCAGCCTCAATGGCTGACCTGCAGAATCTTGGAATGGTTGTTTTAACTGAAAATCCGAGTGGCTTATTTTGTATATGTCTTTGTTTTTATGAAAAAATAGAAAACTGAAACATGGAGAATATAGATGACCGAAGATAAATCAAATGACACTGATTGCTAAGGCTGATATCAGGTTCATTTATTTCTCTCTGTGCTCTTCTTATGTATCTGGATTTTGTGATTAATAAAGAAGAAAATACTCAATCTCAACACCACTTGAAAGATTTTCTAGTTAATTTGTTTTTATTTTCTTTCAGTGATTAAGAAGGGACTATTATTTTTTTTCCTTCTGTTACTTATACTTTTGTAATTATTTGAAATACTTTAATGGTTTCAAAATTAAAAATACAAAACATCCAGGAAAGTCTTTCTTTCCTTCTCCCTATTATCTTACTTTCTCTCTCCCCCAATAGATATCTGTTTATATTAATTTTATATGTATATTTTGGGATACATTTTATATAATTGTTAGAAAATTTAGAATTAAATTTGTGATATATGTTATATATGTTGTATATATGTGTGTGTGTGTGTGTGTGTGTGTGTGTGTGTATGTAAAATATGAAGAGAGATGAGAGAAAGAAAAACAAGGGAGTTAAGGGTTACTGGTTTTGTATAACAGGTCTCTTGAATAGTAATGGAACTGAAAACATAGGTAAAGAACTTATCAAAAGAAAAAAACAATAACATGAAATGAGGGCTATTAATTATAGTTTATATTAATCAAGTAACTTCTATGTGCCATACATAAATTATCACTTTGAATACTTACTAGGACCTTATAAAGTAGACTCTTTTTGGACCTACAGGTAAATGAGAAAATCAATGCTCTGAGAGTTGATTAGCTATCTCTTGTAATGAATCATGGCAAATCTTAGCTTGTGGAAACAACAGGTATTATCATCTCCTAGTTCCTTTGGTTTTGTGTGCCTTTTAGAGGGTGGTTCTGGCCGTCTTTCATGCACTGCAATCAAGATGTTAGCTGAGGTTGTTGTCACTTCAAGCTTTGACTCTGGATCTGCTTCAGTGCTCACTCTCATGGCATATCGCAGCAATTTCGGAGCTTGCTCATGTAGGCCACGTCACAGGGCTTCCCCATGACAAGGCATTTGGCTTCTACCACCAGGAGTGATACAGGAGCAACCAACATGGCAGCCACTGTCTTTTTACAATCTATTCTTGGAAATGACATCTATCATTTCTGTCATATTCTGTTTAGTACAACAAGTCAATAAGTCCAGCTCACTCAGGGGGAAAAGATGGATTTTTGAACAGGATATGAATACCAGGAAGCATCCATCACAGGAGTCACCTTAGAAGGTGTCTAGCACAGGTGAAGCTATTTAAGCTATCACAGACAGGAAGTGGTAGTCCTACACTGAGAAACTGCCCAGTCTAACATGCATGTTCTTAACCATTATGCAAGCACCCACATGCTTCATGGGTGACATTTTATCTTTCATGGGACAATAGTCATTCCTTGCATGTGGCTTTCTCTGTGGGAATGTGAGGGTATTTATGGCAAGGTCACACATATACAACTTGGCTTTCACTTGTGTAACACATTCAGGCACAGGGGTTAGCAAATACAAATGAGCTATAGGTGACGTTCACTATGTAGGGCACAAATGACAAAGCTCTCATTTACCTCCTGCTTCAGGAAATGTGCAGGAATGCAAGAAAAATTTTCATGAATATAAGTATAACCTTGAATTCACTCTAATTTATAAAAATCAAACTCTCTCAGGCTTTAGAATTTTACTGGTAATGAATTATTTGAGACACCCCTCATACTCCATCATGACAAACTGCAGCTTCATATTTCTGGGATGGGGCATTAGTCACAAGGGGCAGATGCTGGCTAAGGTGAGCAGTTTGTACTACATCTTGGAGGCTGTGAGGAGCTACTGAAGTGTTTTAAGCATGGTTGGGTGACACAATTGGATGTGTACCTGCTGCTCTGAACCACCACATTTTGTCTGAACCATCAGATGACATTTTATATTCTCATGCATGAGACACCAGATGATGCCTCTTTACACTCCTCCAAATTCATGCATGTTGTTTAGTGAAATTTATGATTCTCTAAAGAACTGATAGATCAGTTAAAACCTTCTATTTGGGGATAACTGTGCCTGTCCTTATCCAAGCACCAAAAACATCCGTGGCTGCAAACAGCAGGGCTTTGAGTTTTCTGGGGCACAGATTGATTGTCTAATCCATGGTTTTGTCCTTTGATGGTAACCTCATCTGTTGACAAGAGTCAGGAAGTTAGTGCCAGTTCAGTCAAAATGGGCTGAATGTGGTTTTTCAACTACTCTGTCAGTTACTGTGCCCAGCTCTGGATACTTAGACATCAGACAGTAATTTTGTACATCATTAGTAAAGACAGATGACTGCATATATGCATTTTATTTTTCTTTAATTCACGAATCAAACATTTATTGAACTAGCACTGTGATGCTGAAACACAGTGTAAAATAACACATGGCTACTACTTGTACACATTTGGTATCCCATAGCATGATGGGAGCCAGAATACTCTATGGATGATTTTAGCTTAATGTACTGTGGGGGCATTAGAGAAGGATATATAAATCATCAAAGAGGAGGGGCATATAAGAGGTAAGGGCAGAATAAGGAGGGGTATACCCTGTGAGCTGAGTTTGGAATAATGGAAGAATGGATGAGTTAAGATAAGTGGAGGACAGGACTCTATCAAGTGTTAGAAGGATAGTTTTTAAAGGCATGGGGGACCAGCCAAGGCTATAAAAGAAGAGAAAGAAGGAGTCATGTCAAGTACATACAATAGGAGGTACTGAACCTACAGGGGGAAATGCAGGGCCAAGCAAACTTCCCTGTCTCTTGCCTTTCTGTCTTTTCAGCCATCTACGAGAAATCCTGTGAGGTTTATAGGCACCAAGGGCACACGGCTGGATTCTTCTACGTCGACTCTGATGGCAGTGGGCCCCTTGGACCTCTTCAAGTGTACTGCAACATCACTGGTAAGAGTGCAGAGTTTCTACTCAAGCATAAACTAGCCATTGGATGGTACAAAGCAATGGGGAATCACTGGAAGGAGCCTCTTATGTGGATAGAAACACAGAGAAACAACTTCTTTTGGGGTAAATTGTTTTGGTAAAGATAGGAATTATCAGCAAGGTTATTTTCAAAAGAGAGAGAGCGAGAGGAGAAAATCTGTTAATGGTCTTCATAATGTCTCACTGAATCGAGAATTAATTATCAAGTGTTTTCTGTCAAGCTTGCCAAGGACATGATCTCTCTTAAACTCTGAAAATAGAAAGAAAAGGAAAACAAACAAAAAAAACAAAATTTAAAGATCAGTGGGAAGCCCTGATTCAGTAATTAGGAAACCTTCATTTGTATATGCACCTGAGGACTGTGTACCTGGGTGGATCTTAATATTCTCTCTGGGCTTCAGTGGTTCATCAGCAAAATGGGAATGATAGTTCCACCCCCTAGAGTTGTAAGGATTAAATGCAACCATGTGTAAGTGTATTGGAGAAGCAAGCCAGGCTGGTTATCCATTAGATGCCTAAAAATATGGTGAGCTGTTTTTGTTCTTCCTAGAAATTTCGTGATACCTTGAAACTTCTTTCTAAATCACAGAAGGACATAGAACAAGGCAATTAGTACATGGGTTTAGAAATGACATCTGATCACTAATTTTCTCTGAAATATAATTTCACAGTGCCAAAACTTGATTTAATCGTTAAATAAACATTCAACTACAGGAGCATTCCTACCATGTGGAGTGTCATTAATCAGCAAATACACATTTTTTTTTTTTGTTTCTCTTTCAAGTACTTCTCTTTAGAGATGCCAGCTGTATCATATAATTAAACAGGAAAGTAATAGGGGTTCATTGAGTCCTCATGCCCCAGGTTTCTCAGCAAAAAGGCAACCATATGTATGAAACTCTTTCTGTAGCTAGACACTGTCCTGAACACTGAGGATATGCAGAGAAATAAGACACAGTGACTATGGTTCATCATCAGTAATAACTGGCAACATTTCCATGCAATCCTACAAGCAGAAATGCAAGCAAACCATTGCAAGAAATGACAAGTAAGAACACTTAGCTATTTAAGCAACTGCATCCAAAGGGCCAGAAATATTCTGCAGATCATGTTAGAGACCTGGAAATGGATGCAGTTTTATTGCATATTCACAGTACTTCATCTTTCTAAAATGGATGTATGCTAGCTGTTTTTCAGTAGCCCTAAAACATAATTAGAAATTGTATTATTGTTTTCTTTCATGGTTGTGGTAACCTAGCTTGTTAGAAAACCTGGTACAGTACGAGGTTTCTCGGTAACTCTAGGATATTTTTAAAACATATGGAGTCTTGCTAAAAATGCAGGCTTCCCAGCCTCAGAAATTCTATTTCTGTAAATGCAGTTTCTCTAAGTTTTCCAAGCCATTCTAATGCAAATTCTCCTTGGTCTATACTTTACCAAAAAAGTAATTTGGTTGCAGAATTGAGCAAAGAACATAAATACCTCCTACTGAGTCACCAAGTATGATGTGAAATAGTAGAACTGGTGATGATGGCAATCATCTATTGAGTGTCAACTACCTTTGAGAACTGAATTGGGAGAGTACAAAGATTATACCTCTTTTTTTCATATATGAATATATAACCAGTTTATCTCCACTTAATGTGCAACCACAAGAATGGGAAATTATACTCCATGTATGTATAACATGTCAAAATACATTCTACTGCCATGTATAACTAAAAAGAACAAATACAGTTTTAAAAATATATATCTCTTTTAATCCTCACAATAAAGATCTGAGACAGATGCTCATTTTTTTTAATATTTTTTATATAGTCCTTACATGGAAGGAGAGAAAATATTAGAATTTCATGATATATTCAAGGTAATAAGTTCTGCAATTTTGAGTCAAGAATTAGGAAAAAATTCATTTCACTGAAACTTACTTGGATATTTTGTATTGCATGTTTTGCTTAAGTGGTTTTTTTAAAATAAAATACTCAGTGATAATAGTATGAAATTTGGGCCTAAAAGGAAAATATGAAGAAGATGTTAAAACCACCTAGAAGAAATAATCTAGACATTGCTATGTTATTATATTATTACAATTTGAAAGGAAACGTTTTCTATGAACACATATGTTCTACATGTATGTTATGTGCATACACAGATATAATAATCTTGAAGTTTCATAAAGTCCATATGTAGGCTTTCATCCAATTGTATGGATGAAAAACTTGCTATTTGTGATCCTGAAGGATCAGAGACTTGAGTTGTGTCTAAAGGTGAGAGCTATGATGATCATGGGTTGTTGTTTATTTTGCATATGATTATTTTGGTCATATGAAGTGGCAAAATAATTAGGTTTTACTTTTTTTAGTTTTATTGATTTTATTTTTAAAATACATGACTGTGGGATGCATTACAATTCTTATTACACATATAGAGTATGATTTTTCATATCTTTGTATATAGAATATGTTCACGCCAATTCATGCCTTTATACATGTACTTTGTTTTTTTGCATTATAATTCTTATTACACATATATACCACAATTTTTCATATCTCTGTTTATATATATAAAGTATGTTGACACCAAATTAGAGTCTTCATACATGTACTTTGGATAATGATGTCCATCACATTCCACCGCCCTTGTTAATCCCCTGTCCCCTTCTTTTCCCTCCCACCCCTCTTCCCTACCTAGATTTCATCTCATGGGAAGATTAGGTTTTATTTTTTCATAAAGTATGTATAGAAATAAAAACAAGGCTGTGTTGAGGCTAAATCATCAATTATCATATTTTATTGGCAAACAATTTTCCAATGTACAAATGTAATGATGATTAAGTATGCATCTTTCTCTTTGTGAGTTTTAAATCTTCAGTGCTCTTAAATGTGAGTGATTTATAACACTATGTAAAGTATGAAAAACTCGTCCAGGAAAGACAGAAAGGGAGTAATGAAGACAGTGAAGGAGAAGGGAGAAAAGAAATGGAATACAGAGGTTCAGTCTGTCTTTAGCTCTGATTTTTGAAAACACAAAGCTACTCTTCTCTGCCTTTTCGGAGCAAGTGAAGTAATAGTGTTACTGAACCAGACCCATTTTGTATTCCGTGCAAGATGCCATTCACTGAAATGATGAGTTTTACCAGAGTTTATTCATGAGGTGATCAAGCATGTCTTCCATCCATCTCCCTAAGGACAAGGCTTAGGAGTATAAAGCAGGATGGTCTAAGACAAAGTGGAAGACAATTGGAGGTTTGGAAAGGTGAAGTACTTAGTGATCTGTGCATGCATAATCAAATTTCATGGCTCTTCATAGGATGCAGGTTGAGAAAATGGTGGTGTTAGCACACTCTGGAGGTGGAGTTTTGACTTTCTGAAATCAAAATCATCCAGCAGATATATATTTGCCTAGGCCCAAGTGAAGGGCATGTGGTTTCAACCATTTGGAACTAGACAAAAGGGGTCTGTAGGTCCCTGGAAAACAACATAGGCAGCCGTTACCATCATGACCCACACATCAGTGGTGTGATCTATAGCAAAGCTTTTGGAATCTAATAATATATTGCTTAGCTACATGACCTCTAAAATCAGTGATTTTAAAAGTCAACTCAAGGAAAGTACAATGTATTAAACTTAGAGGGCTTATTTGAGTTTTTTTCTCAGTCTCAATTACATAAAGAACACAAAGAATGCTGGAGAAAGAAAACCTGGGTTCTCCTTTATATGTCCATCAGATGAGTGTTTATGGCTTCAGTGTCACATTTCTAAAATATGGATCTGTTGCCTGGTATTCCTACAGCCCTTTCTCATTTAGAAATTTCTGAGATTATCTGTAGAATTTTTGTCCTAAGGAGTCTACAGGTACTTTCAAATAGACGTCAAGTGGTTGAAGATGAGAAGCTTTCAGTGTGGAAGATAGCAAATGTGCTTCCCTCTTTATAAGGCAGCCTAGGGAATGTTAGTTTCCTATTGCTATAGGCAAGGTGGTACGTAACCTGTGCTGAGAGATTGCAGTCTGTGCATCTAAACTACTCTCAGGGCAATTTTGGGGAGGTGAGATGCTCAAATGCTCCAACGGCAACTGCCACATTTGATGTAAAGTGTCATGATCTCTGCATGGGGAACATAAGCCTAATAACATTAGCAACATGATGGAGTGTTTAAGTTTACCAATGAAGGGACTAAAGTTAAACCTCTGTAAACATTTGATAGTGTGCCTTCCCTGGAACCCTGTTCTAAGTTGCTTTGCCATGGGACTAGTGGATGGGAGAGGAGGAGCCTCAGTTTTTGGATGGAGGACTATGTGAAGTGCTGAATGAGAAAGATAAAGAGCTATTGGCTATAGGAATACACACAGGACCTACTTTCAACATCTTTGCACATGATTTTATAATTCATTTCAGCTCAATATAATTTAACTCAAAATAAACTTGCACATTGCAGACACTATGCAAGGTGCATCAGTTGTGAAAGCTTGTCTCCATTAGTTTCCTATAACTGCTGTTACAGAACCACACCCTAGGCAGGACATAGAAATGAAGTATATTATCTCACAGCTCTAAAAGCTAGAAAACTAAAATCAGGGTGTTGGCAGGATCACATTTCCTTTGGAACCTGCAGGGTGAATCTTTTATCTCTTCCTCCTTTCTGGAAGAAGAGTCTGCCCCATCTCTGGCATCCCTTAGCTAGAACTAAGTCTCTGCCTCCTAGAGATAGTCATGCTGCCTCCAGATGACCTTGGCACATGGCTTCCTTTATTTTTGTGTCTGTGGGTCTTTTTCTTTTCTTCCTATCAGGGGTACCCTTCATATTGGATTGAGTCCAATTATACCTCTATGGAGTATGAGCTCATCTTAACTTGATTATATTTGTAGAAAATCTTTTTCCAAATAGGCCACATTCATGGGTTTTCAGGGCTAGGAATTCCATATATAGTTTTGGCAGAAAATGTTTAACCATGACAATATCATT